ACATTTTTATAAAAAATATGTTATATGAAAATATTAAAAAAAAAAGATAGGAAGAATAGTATTTTAGTAGGTGAAGTGTGGTATAGGTAGCAGTGCAAGGGCAGGCCTAGTCTACAGCTTCAACTGTTGCATGCATGCTCTCTTTGCTCCACAGTCGGCATAAAGGCCAAATTCAATTGTGGGCCATTTTCCAAATAATCTCATAAAGCAGCTGGAAAGTGGATCCACCCTTTTCCACTCTTTCTATTCTTAATATCTTACAACTATATTTAACTTCTCTCATTTCGGTGGGTCAACCATGCACAAACCTTCCATCATTATTCACCTAATGGATTCTCATCTTCCCCCATTAATTAATAAATTACTTACACTCATTGAAACAAATATGGTTTAGTTAAAAAAAATTAACCTTTCAATTGTTTAATATAATTTTATTTTTTGTTAATTCATTTATGTGTTAAAAAGAAAGAACAAAATTATAATGTTTCATAATTTCTTTTTAACCATCTACCCTTTTTCTCCTCTTTGGTCTCTTCCTTTCCTCTTCACTAACTAACTTTAAACTAACGATTCAAAAGCAAACGTTTTTTGTTTTGTATAGAAAAAAAATATATAATTTATAAGAACGAACAAAATTCCATTGCTTGATAAAAATGTTTAAATAATTTTTCTATCATTTTCGTTTGTTTTAAAAGTTAGATTCCGACATTTCTTCACGAATATTTTGTGAAAACTTTAGACAAAAAAGTATTGTTCTGTGAAAAATATATACTTTTTAATTTTAAATTCCTAAAGAATAAAATAAAAAACTTACCATGCACGTGGGATATATTATAAACTTTGAACTAATCTCTGACGTGTGTTTTTATTTTATAGTATAATGAATATTTTCAACGATGATGGCGGACGACATGCATGCACAGTAAAGCTCATAGGTAGATTTATGTTAAAGTATTATACAGCTGTAAGGATGGTGGAATCGAAGGAAGCAATTCCATAGATTTTGGACATTGTTTGCAATTCCTACACTTAATGCTCTCCTTTTCATTGCAACTTCTCCTCTGCTTACTTTTCTCTTATTGTTTAACAATAATTGATAAGGAAAAATTAAATCAAATTTATTTCTTCGAAAAAGTCATATTAAATACTTTGAATTTAATACTCTTTCATTAAAAAAATTATTAAATAATGATAAATTTTAGTGACTAAAAATATATTTAGAAACTAATGTCTTTATTATAAAACTCTTCATAACTAATGTGAGTTGACTAGTTTAGATTTTAATTGTTACTAATTTAGAAATTAATTATAATATATTTTTTATATAAAAATATTTTAATTATCAATAAATTTTCAATTTAAAAAATTTTCATTATAATTATTTTTAATTACTAAAATTGTCATTATATTTTTTTTATTTTTTGTTATTCATATGAATAAAAATAATTTGGCATATCTCAAATTACTTAACCAAAAGATCTTGATTTTTTATGTCACGTCAAAATCTATCACTGATTTAGAGACGTAAGGGGTATTCTTATAAATTTTGTAACGAATATTTTTCATTAAATATCTAGTACTAACAAATCATTAAACATTTTAAATTATTGGAAACTAAATATCAAACAATTAAAAATTGAATTAGCCTATTTCCTTTTAGTAAGTACCTAACATTCTTGATGATTGTCCTTTTTGGATTGGAAATTATGAGTTTTAAGTGGAACAGAGGGAGCAGTAATGATGATATACAGTAGCATTATTATACCATGGTGGCACCATGATATAAGTGAAACACCATAAATGAGGAAAGTTGGATACAGACACAAAGCCTTAAGAAATTAAATGGAAATGCCTCTATGGTTGTCGAACGGTGAGAATACAGTATCAAAGTTGTAATCATACATGCTATCTGTGATCACAAGATTCATATGCCCTGACAGATCAAAGTGCTCTCTGTTCCTCAGAGGCATGAATTCATGGAACAGTAAGTGGGCCAGAGTTATTACACACAAAACCGTTCAGACAGAAAGTGACGCTTGTAATGAATCTCTGTTGGACCGAACAACCATTGTCAGATTGTGGGCTTCGCTTCACGGAAACCTTATTCAGTTTCGGCCCATTATGTACGAATTTTCTTCAGAGTGGGCCCAACAGTACCATCTTATTTAACAAATCTTACCCGCGTTGTCACTGGTTCAAAAACCGTTTTTCACTCAAAGCAAATATTCTATTTGACACCCTAGCGGTTAAAATCTTTAATTTCGTTAGCCGTTAAAAATATTAGTTCTTAAAATAAATTTTTTTAATTTATTATACAGATTAAGACGTACAAATTTTCAACCACTCATTAATTAATTAAAATGCTTTTCCTAAAATTTAATTTTTCATACCAGAAATAGATAGGTGATTAGTGAGAGCGCATCCCAAAGATACCCGAAAGCATAAATTCGGCGATAGTTACTTCCATTGTTTAGCATTTTGTCTGATTAGATAACCATCTTTTTCGATCAACAATGTTATTTTCAATTCTTTATTACACACAGCGAAACGAAAAAAAATTATTTTGGTTTTAGAAAATCAAAAAAATTTTTTATAAATGTTGTCTCTGTTAACATAATACATAATAGGATGTAGTGTAATTCAATCACAGCTAGCCACAAAGGTGATGATGATACGTCAATGAGTATGTCAAGTTCCTGCAAAGCTACCTCTTTTATTTATCAGTTTTACCAAATCCAAATTAAGAACTGTAAATTTAAAAATTAAGTTTCTTCGAGGAGGAAAAAAAGTAGCTTGCTTGAGCTCTTTCTCTTGCAAACAAAAATGATGATTCTTTTAGATTTGGCTTTCTTAAAAAGGATTTGGGACTGCAAGATTGTCAATAATAAGAAAATGAGTTTTCTGTTAAGAATAAACTTTCTCAATAAGGTATGAGATGGTGGAGATATTAATCTTATTTTGTTACTAGAATATTTTTATAATTATTCTGATTTTTTTAGATTATAATATTTTAAGATAATTTATTACCGTGATACATTTCTATAATAATTTATTTGTTTCCTATATATTATTAGGTTTACTATTTATGATACTTAAGAATAAAATATCATTTCACTGAAAATTATAACAATTTTAATAATAATAATAATGATGATGATGATGGAAGAAATTTTCTTGACAACCTGCTCATGAATCACCCCTACCATTATAAACAGGGTAAAAACAAGATGATAATTTCAAAATTGAATTTTGTACTGAATTTTTTGTGTTATATTTAAATATATTGATTACAAATTTTATGATACTTGAAATTTTTATATATACTACTGATTTTGGTAAAATTTAAGGATAAAATATTATTTCACAGAAAATCATAACAATTTTAATAATAATAATAATGGAAGTAATTTTTTGAAACTTGAATCACCATTACTATTATAAATAGGTAAAAACATGACGATAATTTTGAAATTGGATTTTTTTTTAATTTACTTTCAAAACATATTAAATTTTGTTAATATATAAAAAAATAATATATTTTAAAACACACTACCGAGAACAACACTAAAATATTTAGCAGAAAATCTGAAATTGATAATTTTAAGTATTATGATAATGATAACAATGCTTCTAATAAGGACTCAATGACTTATGGAATAACCCAACCATAAATCTTCAAACTCCAGCCTAAAGGAGTAGCAATGGAATAATTTGTTTCCTATGTTAGTTTGCTTATTTATTAAAACCTTTCATAAGTTAATATCACTTTCATATGTATTTACCGCAATGAAAAAAAAAATCAATAATAGAATATTATCTCACAAAACTTCATATATTTAAATATTTATATATGGATTCATACTCTCAAGTAATAACCAATAACTTCAACCTTAGGATAGTTAAAAATATCTGGTTATGATGCATTGTATGGCAATGAGCCTGGGCTTGGGTATGGAGAAGCTTGTATTTATTTTTTTAAATTCATACATTTGACAACTGATGGATGTCGTGTTCAACTTTGAACCGGAAACTTTCATTCAGAACTGCTGGGTATTAATTTAGATTAATCCAAACATAACGTAGACTCATTTTCTTAAAAATGAAACAAGTTTATTCATCAAAATAAAATTAATATCTGCACCGTATAAAATCAGCAATATCCACCTATCACTCGCACTTCAATTAAAATAAAACGTTTCACATCCTAATTGGAAAAAGGTGTTAGAAGATAAGTATGTCAACCATCAAACTTGTAGAAATGACTCTATAGTGAGTCACAAATATAGATATTAGATTGAAACAAATAATTTTCTTTATGCAATTTTACAAGACTATATTCTCATTTCTTATTAATTTAATATATTAATGAATAAGCACAAAAATTACAAAAAAGTTACAAAATAATTAGGATAAATAAATATGCTCATCACTCATTATCACAAAAACTTTGACAAAAACTATTTGTGGAAACCAAAGTAAACTTAACATATAGAAAAAGAAACATTTCTTATGAGTATTGAATAGGATCACGCAGTCTTTTTCTTTCTTTTTTTAAAGAACATGATCTCAACCATTAAACTAAAATCCCATTTATATAAAACATTAGTAAAAATATAATTGAGAGAGAGAATAAAGATAAATGGATACTGAACCCTATTTTATTAAAGTGCAAGTATGTGGTCATCTTTCCAGATGCATATTAATCACTGCACCTAGTTAATACAATTCCTCACCCTGCTCTCAATCAAGAAATAAACGGTTGCGTTGAGAACAAGGACAATAGATTCCAGACAGTTTTGGGAACGCGACAACAATAAATAGCAAATTAGACAAATGTGACCGGCACAAAAAAGCCCTTTTTTTACTTTGACAATGCCCCCATCCCCAATTCTATTTCTCTTTAATTCTTTCACACTCTTTAATCCATGGCGTAGAGCATAAGCAAAATCAGAGAGGCGTAATTTTAATTGAATAATATTATCTTTAGGACACAGTCAACCTCATTACAAAAACATCTGAACATTCTCATATAAAGCATTTTGTACAAATTTTCGATCTTAGCTGCTAGTAGTTACAATTTGAAGACCCATAAAAGAAAATCAAAATGAAGTTTACCATTCTCGTATAGACTTCTACTTACAAAGGAAGAGAATGGTATCTAAGCACACCTGCAATCCCAAATCAGTCCTCTATTTTATTTGGATACAAGATAATAGACCCAGTTGACATTTACACGTTATCAACTGAACATATTTACAATCAAGATAAAATTTATCTCTTCCTCTAGACTCAAAGATCCAAAAATTACTTTTGTCCGTGCGTGTTGTATGAAGTCTCGGTTATGTTTTGAACTGAATCTAATATTAAACTTGTGTGGTATGAGAAGAAGATCTATGCCAGGGCAGGGATGCTGCAATTTCGCCTATCCCTATCAAGGCAATCAAATCCCTCAATTCTCACGACAGGATTGTCACCAAAATTAGCTCGAACACAGCCTCCCTTCCTTGCTGAGGATGAGGGAGATGGTGGGAGACCTGATGCAGTCGGAACCACCACCCACGACTGCGGTGAGAGCGGAGAAAAAGTCTCATCTCCAAATCGAGCATCCTGAATCAAAGGGTTAGTTGCTCTGCTAGGCGGCGACCCGCAGAAAAAAGGTGGCGAGGAGGCTGCCACAGGCCAAGAGTTCTCTACATCAAAATCACCATCCTGGAAAACCATCAACAAACAAAATCAATTAAATCTGAGCACAACCTTCATCACTAATAAATAAATTAACCTAAACCACACGACTCACAACAGAAGAGAAAACAAAATAATAACAAAAAAAAAAACATTAAAAAAAATATCTACCTTTGTGAGTATGTTGTCCAGAGGATTTGAACCAGAGGAGCTTGAATCACATGGCTCGACCTGGCAACTGCAGAGAAACAAAGGATGCAAAGTTTAGTAATGATAGAAATAATACTTTGAAATACAATAAGGAGAAGAAAGGAAAGCAGTTATACCTGAGATGCCATCGGAAGTTTCTAGCAGGGTGATCGTTGACGGGAAAGTTGAAGAGGCCGAGGCGGCGGGGCTTGGGGCAAACCACGCTAATCTCATCGTGGGATGGAACGACCGCGTTTTGGATGGCAAACTGCTTCATCTTCGTCCTTCGATTTTTATCTACGTATTTAATTAACAACTAAAACCTGCTCCACACCTATAGACGTAGCAAAGGAGAAAATAATTAGAAGAGGACATCAAACGAAAACTCAAAAACCGAAAGCAATAAACAAATCAAGCCTGTCAAACCAAATTCTGTAATATATTAAACGAGATCCTACGAGCACATGTAACTATACCAACAACTGAAGGTTGAGATCTAGTAAAATAGATAAAGGAAACAACAAAAATAAATTATAATCACGCGTAGAGTTTCTGAAATCTCAATCACCTAGCTCTACCATAGCTATACACCTCACCTACAGATCTAACAAAAACAATACAAAATTCGCGTATGCAAATAAAAAACCGTATATGAATTGATTCAACATAAATCGAGCGAGATCTAGAAAAGGAAAGTGCTGGTTTACGATAATTAAATTAAATTTGAATTTGAAGAACAGGAATTACAAATATTAAAAAAATGATAAGGAGAGAAGGTTAACGTTTGGGAGCAAAGAGATCTAAGAGAGCAGTGATAGTAGAAGCAGTACCTGTGAGGTAAGGTGAGGGTTTGATTAACTAACTGTACAGAGGTTGTGAAGAAAAGAGAAGGAATTGAATTGAAAGAAGAAGTTGGTGAGAGAAGGGGACAGAGAAAAGTGAGGGTGAGGGATGAAGAAGATGGAAGTATGGGTTGCAACCACACTTCCTTTATATTTATCTTTTATATATATATATAAAATTTATTTTAAGGTAGATTTTTATTCTAATATTGTATGGTTAATTCATGCGGGCGGTGCCTCCCGCGATAAATCACATCGATATTGGCACCCTCAAACTCTCTTTCTTCTACGGTAAAATCAAAATTTTATGCGCATCCATGAATCATGTATAATTTATCATGTTAAAATATTAAATATGATACTATGATGTGAAAATATCTTAAATATCAACCCATCCCTTGGGAATGAGAATGAGTCTTGTATGGTGTAGCATTGTGCAACGCGCAACGTTTAACCTCCTCCCTACACGTGGCGCCCTCTCCACCTTCTAGGACCCAAGGTCGGCAAATTCGTACTTTCAAGGTCCGCTCCTACCATTCACTAATTTTTATTTCACTTTAATCCTTCTCTTGCCACTGGATTAAGACTACATCAATCAACATTAATCAAAATAAATAAATAAATCTTTCTCTCTAACTATGTTTTTCAAACTTATTTCTGTTTTCTCTCTTCTTTCTTACAGGGCTAAAACCAGTTATTATCTCTTTTTAAATGCTTTTGCAGCTTTCGCTTTCTCTTTAACCTTTCTAACTCTTATTTCCTATAACCTCCTTTTTCATACCTATTCAAATAACTTATTTTAATTAATTTCCCGTTATCTACCTTAAATCATGTCACATCTATCTTTTCTTATGTAATTATTTATTTTTTTATTTTTATAAGATCAATTAATATATATATATATATATATATATATATATATATATATTTCGGTAGGATTTTATGAGACTGAGAAATTAATCTTTGCTGACATGTCTTATTCGTTTTCGAACACTTGAATCGTTTGAGTCACTCGTTTTTCTTCAGTTTGGACCGTTCGGTTACGTCGGTCTTGGTCGATCGGTTGCTTTCAGGCTCCAAGGAGAGATATATGTAAAAGATACTCCGACGCGCGTGTGATTTTAAGAGCCTCGACTCTTGGTTGAGTATTTAATGAAAGATTATCACTGATTGTTTGAATGTTATGAATGATGAATTTTCATTTCTGGCTTTGTATTTATAATTTATCTCATGGATCCTGAGCTTTACATGATCCTAAGCTGATTCAAGCCCAATAAAATATAAACAGAATAAGATATAAACAGATTACCTGAAAATCGGTTTGGTTGTTTATAACCTACTTTATCAATATCTTTAATTAGATATTCTTTGATTATTTTATCATTTACTGGACTATTGGTCCAATAATAGCTTAAGCACTAACTTCTTTAACCTGAGTGGATAGACCGAATTATTAACAGGCCATTATATATATATATANGAGGGTTAGGAAGATATCTTTGTCAAATGACTTTTTTATTCTATTTTTCAATACTATATATGAATACAAATGTCAGAAGTTTCTATCAAATATTTGAATTTATTTGAGGATGGGGTTGGTAGAAGTGTGGTGCTTTGAGGATGTAAATTACACTGATATCTTTTGAGAATTTTTTCGAATTACTAACATCTATTTCTCTTTTTTAAATTCTACAAACTTTCCATTTATTTTTAAAATATTACATTATCTTTTCTCTTTACATTACACATTCACCTTTTTATCCTTTAAAAACATTACACATGCACCCTTTTATATCACACACGCATTCCGTAATAAAGAATTACTGTAATGATAAAAATTAGAGGATGTTGATGTAATTTATATATATATATATATATATATATATATATATTTGTTTTAACATTTTTGTTAGTCCTGTCTTTCTTCTATTGCTTCTAATAGTCGTTATCGTCTGATGTAACCAGATGGACACCAATTCCAGAGTACCGCCTAGAAACACCCGTCTCAGTTTATATTTTCAGTTTTCAAAAGCCAAAGACAAAATTATTGCAGTAATAAAATACGTTTTTCTTAAAAAATTAAATGTTTTTTTTATGTACGATGATCTTGAGATCAAACATCTAATTCAATATCTGGAGAGAAAATAGTCCCTAATCATGTTTAATGTCACTTGATATATCTTTCCATTACTTTGGATCTTTAAGGTCGGTGTCAATATTACTAAAATAATTATTACATTTTCGTTTTGTATATATTCATTTATTATATGTTATTTTTTAATTATTTAATAGGACTGTCGTTAAGAAAACTTCTACCAAGCGAAGATATAATGTTTCAACAAGTCAGTCTCCCTTGATAATTTTGACCCGGAAGGTCAACCGTTTTGCTTTCTCTAAAATTCTATCATGTTTTCGTTTTGTAAATTTTTTCATCTTTTGAGTTATTAATGTTTTTTGATAGGTCTGTTATTAACAAATTTATGTACTCTTAAAGATGTTTTCACTTAAAATTTCACTGATAAAGTTGTTGATTAAATATTTCTTGAACTCTTTTGTTTTAAAAAACTGAACCTAGAAATAGTTTTATTTATTTATTTTATTCTTCTTACCTTCTCTAATTTTAAAATTTGTGGACTTCCCATCTTTATCTTTTCACTATGTTTTTAGTGAGTGTATTGGTTATAACCATACTTACTTTATTACACATTTTTTTTTTAAAAGTACACACCAATGAATTATTCTTTTTAAATGTTTATTTACGATAGTTTAATTTCAATCTTATTCTTAGAAATTTGTTTGACAATAGAAATCTTTTCAAAGATGGGGAGGGCATGTTTGTAGGAAAGAAATTCTAATGTGGTTGTTTAGATAGATTTATTGTTTACATGGAAGAAAAGACGAACGAATATTGTGTTTACTTTAGAATATTTAAAGTGATTAGAGGTAAAATATTTACGAATTAAGAGAAAAAAAATCATCGCAAGATAAAAATATTTGAAGAGATTCACCATGGTTTTACTAGAGTGTCTTTTATATATTTTTTAAATAAGGTTATGTTATGCATGGAATTGGTAATGTGGTGGTGCAATTGTCTTAATTGTCTTGATGGTTGTCGTTAGTGATTTTGTGGTGCCAGAGTTGTGTTTTGTGTGAGGTGTTGGTCGTGAGAATAGATTCTCAAATCATTATGTATTTTAAAGAATTGATAGTTTTTTAATCTTTAAGAAATGGATCACTTTGAATTTTGTTTTTTATTATTAAAAACCTCAAACTTAATAATACTAATAATAACTTACATTCATTTTAATATAATTAACACTAATTATATTTTGTTTTAAATTATTTTTATAACTAAGAATAAAATAATAATATTTTATTTTTGTCCATTAAAATATATTTTTAATTTATCAATCTTTTCATTTCTCTCCATCTTTCTTTTAGTTTAAATAACTCTTCTACATTCACTATTTTTCTCTCAAATTCATTTAAATCTACTTTTCAGATCCACCCACAGCGTAAAAGTCAAAGAACCGAAAGAATGTTAGGGATGGACAGATGATGAGAGAACAGTGAGAGAATTTGAAAGAAGAAAGAAATATCGAAATAAGTCGAAGATGATGCAAAGAATTCGAATAAAGATAAGCAAATATGGTGACGCAGTGACCTTTTAGCCATTCGAATTTTGACCCTCAAGCTGACCCCAAGACACCATCTACAAAAAAATAAAAATCCAGTTAATGGATGAACGCAGTTGTTGCAATTTGGTTAGGATCTTGTCAGCGAATTCATCCTGATATCTCAGTTTATGGGCAAATGACATGTCACCAAAAAAAAAAAAAAGAACTTGTAAATATTATTAAAGAAGAAGACGAAGACATATTGATGAAGAAGGGAAATAATTGTAGACAAACCGAAAGACATATCTTTTCTTGCATCTACACTTCCAAAGCAGTGGGACACAGAACAGAATACTCCATCCTAGTAAAGAAGTGCAATCATATTCTCTATGAACTGTGTCCAGATTTTGCAAATTATTCTCATTTCAAACCTTAATTATCGGCAAAGTTTATTTGATATGATGGTTTTACTAAAATTTTTGATAAGAAAAGTCGCTTTGACGTGATTTACCTTCAGTCATCAACATATTCTTATTAATTATATTAAAAGCAGGTGAGGGTGTCAAAGTTAGGCTTACGATCTGGTGAAAAGGACAGTTTCGGTTTGAAAGGATTGGCATGCGTTGGTCCCAAAATCAAGTTGGTGTTCACACAACACAACCACCATGTGTTGCCTTTGCTTTTGGCAGTGGCTTTTAAGAGGAATAGATCCAAAATCAACACTAATGGGGAAGCATTATAAACGATGCCCATGCTTAGCATTACAGAATCATTTTGTTGACGTAAGTAAGTTCGTAAATAAAAATAAAAAAACAGAAACTAAGTGCGTGTCTTAGCGTCAACAATAATAGTTTATTTTCACGTGCTTTACATCCACTGGACATAGGGTAAGCGAACAATGATTTGACATCAAATTGCTAAATTTTGTTGACCATTTTGTTACAGATTTCAATAATGAAAGAAAATAAAAATGCTGGGTCTTCCATCATGAGAGGATTACGTTGTTTGTTTAACAAGCAAAATCAATGAAAGCTGTAAAACAACCAAGAGAAAAGCTTTTAAGAAAAAGACGTAGCCTTTGCTTGTTTGAGATAAAAGGGTAGAAGAAAAAGGATGGAAAAGAAAGGATATAATAGGAAAGATTTGAACTTGGAAGAGGCTATTAAGGATCATTTGTGATGAAAGGAATGTGAACCATAGGTTTATCTTTCTCCTGTCAAAGCATGGGTATTGAAAGTTTGACCTATTTATTATAAATCTACAGTTTTGTAACATAATTAATTATATGCTTAGATATAATATTTTTTGTTTGAAATGTCACATAATCAATTAAGATTTTTATAAAATTAATTTTGTAGGTCATCTTAAACATTAAAAATCCTTGTTTTTCTTTTCTTTTTCATTAAACATACAACTATTAGAAATTTCTACTCTTTTGCTTTTTCTTTCTTCATTCCCATTTATTTTTTCACACCATCCAAACGAAACAAAAGCATCAATTGTGTACAACCATAATTCACAACTTGTAAGATT